GCTGCTCGCCGGCTGCTCGCCCGCGCTGCTCGGCGCGCCGCTCTCCGCAGGTGAGTTGCCGCCCGCGGCGCCCAGGTGGGGACGGGGTCGCGCGGGGCGCGTTCCCGCCTGGCCCGGCGGGCGCCCTGCGGGCAGGTTCGCCCCGCCGAGGGGCTGCAGGCGCCTCGCAAACTCTCCGTCCTTCCTCCCTCCTCCTCTTCCTYCTCCTYCTCTCGCGGCCGCACTGCCGGGCAGTGTCGGAGCGCGCGGCGCGGCCGGAGCTGCTGCCGCCGCTTCCCCGCCCCGGCCTTTCCCCCGGGAAACTTTTCCCTGCGCGGCACTGGGGAGCAGCCCCGGGCAGGCACCGTCCGCTCCCGAAATCCTCCTCCCAAAGAGTGTGCGAAGGGGAGGAAGGAGCGCACGGGGCCGGCGTCTGTTTTGTTCGGAAGCCGCCACTTTCGCGGCCCTTCTCGCCTCCGCTCCCCGGAGGTGCTCGCGGGTGCCGCGGGACGCGGTGCAGCGGCGGGGACTCGCGGGGGCCGGGTCGGGCCGCGGCGGGGACTTGGGACGCACCTGAGCGCGGCCGCCCTCGTCCTTTTGGGCGCTCCGCTCCGGGCTGGGGGGTCGCGAGGCGCCGCACGAGGGGGCAGCGCGGGAGACCTCGGGCTCTGCCCTGGGCTCCCTCGCAGCGCTTGGGCTGGCGCCGAGCGCGCGCCGGGGCGCGGGGTCCTCCCCGGCCCTGAGCCGGCTCCTGGGAAAACTTGAGCTAGGAACCTGCCGCTCGGGAAGGAACGTGCGCTCGAGAGACTTGGCAGGGCTGCTTCCCAGAGGACTGGGGTGCGCTCAGGAGGCACTGTTACAGGAAGGCCGGAAAGGAGAAAAAAAAAAAAAAMAAATTTAGAAGTTTGAGATGTGTCACTGTTAATTAAGAAATGTACTGAAGCAATAAGAGAAATTGTGCCGGTCCAAACAGATTGCATCCCTCCTGTGTGGCTGACTTGAGTGCGTATAATTTAATATCTGCGTATTGGAACCACGGGATTACGTAAGTGTCTCCAAGCCTTTTACCAGGGGAGAGAAGCACACCATATATGCAGCTCACACGTTGTAGGAGCTGATATAATAAAATATGCCAGAACAGATGAAATAAAATATGCCAAAGCATAGTTCATCTCTTCATTTTATATATATATATATATATGCATATGTATAAGATAAAGAAAGAAATCAGACCAGTGACTGTTAGTGGAACTTGTCAGACTAATGTTGATGGCAAAGGTAGCTCTTCCATGTAGATTTTCACAATTTGTTCGCTGGTACAGAAAGGGTAGGGAGTTGTGCTAACTTACACAGTCCATGATATTTCATACTCCGAAGGTGGAATGCAGCCTTTCTTGGAAGTACAAAAAGGTTTGTTCCTTGCAGTATATGTGAAGTTAAAAAGAATGCATGTCAGAAGCTAAAGTTTCTACTTTCTGTTGTGAAGCATTATTTAAAAAAAAAAAAAAAAAAGGCAACCCCCAAGCCTTGTACAAGTCAGAGCTTCAGTAATTTCAGACTTTCTCAGACTTTCTTGGAGCTATGGAGAAATATATCTGTTGGCAGCTGATGCTGTCAGTATACTCAGTTTAAGGCATGATGCTCAGATCTTTGACCTTTTAAATCTGTTCTCTATCTATGTGTTAAGGGCAGTGTCCCCACTGAGCACTTGCTTATGACTAGATTTGAATGCTCTGCACCTAATAGGCAATACGAATTCTGTTATTTTTAAGCCAGTCCCTGGTGCCAATGTGCATGTGTGTGTATGTGTGTTTTCCCCTATAATGCCAGTTGATTAGAATTAGATAAGGGCATCCTAATGTTAGTGGACGCGTGGTGTGAATGTTGGGTCTATTTGCGCATTACCGTGGGGCCTCTCTGTAGCCTTCCAGGAGATGTTTCTGTAGATACCGCACATAGAAGCATTTATTTCCTTCAGAACAAGCTCCTCTGCTTTTAACAAGGCTACTGTTTTCCAAGCATCCTGCTTTGACAGCCTTCCCTCTCTTCTTAATACAGAAGCCTGTATGTTTTCACACTCAACTTAATAAAATACATTTCCCACTTCCTTTGTATTCTCTCATTTTGAATCATAAGAATTCAAAACKGTATTATTTTTTCCTGTTCTTTAACAAACAGTTCACATTCAGCGTGAACTTTTCTTTCTCCAACATTGCAATTTCGATTTTCTTTCCTTGCTCTTTTCTTAAGCTCTTTTGCTTAAGAAAACACGTTTTCTTTTCTTAAAAATTGTTATTATGATGATGATTTTATTTCCTTTTTCTTATACCACTCTGAAGCAGTGAATCTTGGTCAGATCCAAGCTTGCTCATATAATTTTCAAAGCTTTTATTAAGGGTCCAATCAATTTAAAGAGAGTCTGAAGTGTCTTTACAAGTTGGCTTTCTGCCAAGTGTGTGTGTATGTGCTGGTTGTTCCCTCTTCTTCCTCGCAACATGTTCAATGAAAGCAAATGCTACAGCAAGACAGGAAAAGGAGCGAGATCTTGCAGTTTGTTGCAATCTTTAAAAATTATATCTCATCTCCACCCTGCTCGGCAAGCAGTTGAAACACTGTCTCTTTTGTCTTTCCCTGGAGGCCTTCAAAAAGCAAACATTCCTCCCCCCTCCCCGGCACTTCCCCCCAAATAAATAAAGCCAACCTCCATCCAGAACCCGGAGCCTGACGCTTGCTGGTCTTGCTGTGCTGTTTCTTTACCCTGCCTCTTTCCGTGACCCTTCGACTCGGGTGTGAGCTTGTCAGAATCTAGGCCAAAATGTTTTGGCAGTGCCTACTTGGTTGAAGTCGAGCTATTCCTTATATAGCACCTCCTTTCATCTGGAACTCCTGCAGTTTGATAAAGAACAAGTTCAGCTTGTTTTCATAACTTGGTTATTACAGACTTTTTTTTTTTTGGTATTATTTCTAGCAATTTATGTGTTTTCAAATGTGAAAAGAAGTAAAAGTTCTTCAAAAAAGCCTTTTCTTTTTGAGAAACACTGCCTGCTTGTCAACTAATGCTGTTAGAAATATTGTGCACAGCGCAGCCTCAGGTGGTGTCTATGCAAGTGTGTGTGTGTGTGTTTAATATATTAAAGAAAGAGTAAGACGGTAAAAATCTTAAAAATCACCCAAGGTGCTCAAAGTTGTTTGTATGATATTTCAGAATATAGAGATGGATAAATCAGCATAGAAAAGAGGACCATAGGGTTTGGACCTCAAAGCCCCTGTCTTACTGTACACTGCTTTCTTGTACAAAGCAGTTCTTACAACTCGTGGTGTCACAAATGTACAGGCAGCAGTAAATATTTTTGGATTAATCCTCCACCCCTCATCRTAAGGGTGGAGTTTCTCTCTGGCTTTGGGGGAGAGATTCTAACTCAGAAATTTGATGCTATGAAGCAGAAAATATTGTTTGTTTTTATAAGGATTTTGTAGTCTAATGCTTTTACGTAGAGAAACCTACCAAACCAAAATCCTAATAAGCATATCTAGAGATTCAGAAAAATCATCTAATAGAAGAGATTCAAGCAATTAAGAAGATGTTTTTTAAAAAACAAGTTGTGATTAAACTCAAATTAACTCTTTGCTGTGAGAACAGCAGAAGTTCCTTCAGTCATATTTTATTCCTGAATGTGCCACGATTTGTTTGTGTTATACAAGAGATTCTAGTGCAGGTAGGTGTATATGTAAAAAAGRCTTTTCAGTAGCTTCACCCCCAGCCCAAGCTGTTAAAATATATTGACAAATCATATGGATGAGTGGAATTAAAACTGAAGTTAGTTTCTCACTCTGACACCCTCCTCCCCGAATGTTTTACTTTCCTTCCTGCTTCAACTCTCCTTCATAGCACTGCTAGTTCAGAGCTCACTTGTCTACCTACAGCTCCAGAAATAACACTGTCGCAATTCTGCGTGATAACTT